TGTGTGTGTGTGTGTGTGTGTGTGTGTGTGTCTGAGCACGTACAGCATGTATGTGATGACACCCAGGCTCCACATGTCGGTGGGAAATGAAACAAACTCGTAGTTGATGACTTCAGGGGCCAAGAATTCCGGCGTTCCAAAGTTGACCTTGAGCTTCTCCCTGGGTTTATACCTGAGACAGACACAACAACAGAACCGTGAGACACATGTCTGAGAAGAGACCGTTATCAATGGTGAGGAGAGAAAGAAAGAAAGAAAGATGCTTTTACCTCCGGGCCAGACCGAAGTCAATGATCTTTATCTTGTTAGTGGCTCTGCTCACACAGAGAATGTTCTCTGGCTGAATGAGAACAGAAGAGAGGAATATATATAAAGAAACAAATACAATTCAGTTAAAATGCTGGTTACCAAGCCGATGAGGATACATTTCTATTCCTGTCACTGGGTGTCAGCAGGATTAAACAGAAATATTAAAGAAACCAGACGAAAAGAACCCATTAAATCTGGAATGGATTTAATAAAGCTGTCAGATCCAGGATTAGTTTTCCCACTTTATCGAATCTTTGTGAATGTCTCTAGAAACGATGCAGAGATATTTATGAAAAACGTGAAGCGTCATCATCAAGTGTTTATTATTATTTGTGTCACTTGTATCTTGTATTTAACTGTGACGAGTATTGGCACAACACTGCACTGTGATTCTACATTTTCCATAAAAATGATAGATTGACAGGATAGTGGGATATAGAGCATAAATATATGTATACATTTTTAAATACCGGTTGCATTGTGAGAAGATCTAATGTTGAAGCAGGTTTACCTTGAGGTCGAGGTGCAGGATGTACATCTTGTGCATGTACTGCAGTCCCTCACAGATCTGCCGTATGAACAGCACCGTGTCCAGCTCCGTCAGGTTGTAGTTCTCGTCGATGATGCGGTCGAACAGCTCCCCCCCCTCCACACTGCGGCACAAACAGAAGCACACGTAGGTATTTACACCTGTAGGGATTTTAAACTCTGTCGTAGTAACGCGCACAAATCCAGACGTACTATTCCATGACCAGGATGATGTCGTGGCGTGACTCGAAGGCGGCGTACAGCTGGATGAGGTTGGCGTGGTTCAGCTGGTTCATCACCTGGATCTCGTTCCTGACCACCTCCTGAGGAAACAAACACACAGACCAGTTAATACATGAAGAACACTGTTTTTGTGCGTGGGATCACTTCAGAGTTTGATGGGAGGGAGGAATTCTTGTTTTTTCAAGCCATGCATGATTCTACCAAAGGTGAGGATTAGTTGTTTTGGCAAAAATTTAGCTGTGAGCATCACCATGAAATCATCTAACATCAGCCGCATGTAGCAAGAAGAGGAGAAGATAAAGAAGATGCAGGGACAGTTAGTAAAAATGGAGGCTATCAAATGAACTAGAGCAGCAGATGTCCAAACAGACATAGTCACTGCACCTTCTCTTTCTGGCTCCTCGCTTTGATGATCTTGGCGGCCAATGTCAGACCCGACGAGTTCTCTGTGCACTTGTGGACCTGTCCGAAACGTCCCCTGAGGAGAAAAGAGCAAAGACCTGTCATGAGTCAAACACAAAGATGGACACAAGAAGCAGAGAGGAAGAAGAGAGGTCCTAGAATTAAAGAATGATTTGCTTTTCTTTTACTGACCACACAATAAAAATGAATAATAAAAATAATCATTAGTTGCAGCCCGTATGCACAGAGTGTTATAACAGGCCCCGTCAGTCGTACAGTAATAAGGCCTCTGTTGTGCCATTATGTCAGTAATTTTAGAAATGTGCTTGCGTGCCGAGCAGTAATCTCCAGTTGGAGAGGCAGGATTTAGCAGCGAGCTATTGCATCACAGAGGTCTGCTATTTCCCCCGAGGCTCTCAATCCACTTTAGGGGGGCAATAAAAAGGGTCTTGGAAAAAATGATTAAGCATGTGACATCCTCTGTTATTTCATTAGAGGAGAGCGAAGTGTCCAAGTGTGAAATGAAAATAAACATTCAGTGGTTTCCTCATCACTCACCCTCCCAGGACTTCATCCCTGTTGATGGTGTAATAGGTGCCTATCTGATGGGGTTTGGGCGTCACGATGCAATGTTCGAACGGGGCCAACGGCGGAGGACTGGAGTCTGAAGAAACAACACAGGATGAAAAGAGGAAGTTGCTGAGTTTGGAGCGAGAACAGAGATTGAGGACGAGGCCTCGGCCCCCGGAAACAAAGTGGATGAAAATAGCAGCGGGCCGACGCCTCATTATCTGCTCTGCTACCTGACACGTTACTGACGCTTGATCCGACCCTGGATCTGCTTCCAGGGAGAGAAAAGTCAAATGTCACCAGCTAACAAGTGTGATCAGTCTGCACAGAGACGCTGCTGCACGATAAAAATTAATGACAAACAAAACTAGAGCCGAAATGTTATAAATACTGAGGCCTATACCTACAAAGTGAATAAATTCCTCCTGGTTACTAAAGATCTTGTATTTTAATATGAATTTTATTTGAATTATTTGCAAATCGTCTTACACACTAATCAAAGTATATAAGTATTTAACGCATCTGTCACTTTCTAGTTCAAAGTTCAAAACCAGCAGGATTTGTCAAACTTAAGTTAGACCTAAATTTCAAAATAAAGAAACTTTCACCCCCCCCCCAAATTTTCCCAGATTGGCCCTGATTGTTGCCGTACATTCAAAGTCATGACTTACCGATAATGAATTCTTCCACTGTCCGCTCCGAGTCTTTCGCCTCCTCTTCCTGCTCCGGCTTTGCTTCGTCTGATTTGACTTCCTGCTGCTCGCCCTTCTCCACCGCCGCCTCTCCGTCTGCGTTTTCCACCTTACTCTTTTTGAGGTCGTCCTTCACCAGGTCTTCCTCCGTGACGCGGCGCTTGCTGCAGGTGGCCACATCCCCGACCTCCTCAGAGCTGCACATATACACAGGAATAAAAATATATATTTTCTTCTCATTTTTCTCAGATTAAATTGGAATAAATGAAATAATTAACATGATCCAGTGTGAACAAAGGGATTCTGTAGAAAAATACCTCTCCTGTTGTACGAGAGGCTTCTTGCAAATGTCTGCGATGACACTCGGGGCCTTTTCTGACTCCTCTGCGTCTCCTTTGTGCCTTTTCTTCCCATCATCCTCCACTTTCCCAGCTGGTTCTGCTCTAGCGTTTTCTCCCTTTTCCTCTTCGTCTCCCGGCTCGGAGTCCTCAAAGACATCCTCCTCCCCCTCCTCTTCCTCCTCTCTCCCCTCAGTGGTCGTCTGCCTCTCCCCTGACTGTGAGGCCGAGGTGTGAGGTCCATCCAGGATCAGCTCCCCCGGCTCCTGTCGTCTTCCTCCGATGCCTCTGTCGTCTCCTCTCTGGGCCTCAGCCTCTGCGTTCACATGAGAATGCTCAGCGTTCTGCCTGTTGAGCTTTTCCACCTGTTCCTGCAGCACAGGCTCGTTCAGGGCGACTGAATCTGGAACATATAAGCGTTTATCAGCTTCCACATGAAAAACCTTTGCTTCGGTTTCATTTGCGTTTGTTCATTTGTTTGTTTGTCAGCAGGATTATACAAAAAGTACCGGACGGATTTCCATGAAACTTGGTGGAAGTTTTCATGTCTAGTGAATTCAAGTTTTTGTATTTATTTCATTGACATTGGCCTCAAAACTCCTCATCAGTCAGACTCAATATGGATAAAAAATTTAGACTGTAATGTGATGAACTGTTTATATTTTCTATGTAACGTGAATAAACTCAGGCGAGTGACCTACCTGACGAATCTTGGGGCTTCCTCTTCTTCTGGGCCTTCAGACCCTTCTGGCTCAGTTTGGCTTTATCCTTCTCATCCTTTGCCTTTTTGAAGAAAGAAGAAACAAATACATTCAGTACAAATATTTTATATGTCACCTACAAATACAAAAGAGGAGTTCAAGGTAAAATAATACTTCACAATACATCTCCTCAACTCGCACGAGGTATCAAAGTCTCATCTCCAGCGATTCTTTTATCACTTGTCAAACAGTCTGGTGAAGTGATTTGTGGGGTTCTGTAGTCAGGAGTCTGATTTCTAATGGCAGCAGCACAGTTATATATACTGGATATTTCCATTTGCACAATAGTCCGACAACAAGCCAGACTGTTTGTTGCTGTTTCTAGGGTTGCTCCGTAACTCAAGCGTGATGTTCTGGGGGACGGATGCCTTCCTCGGCAAGAACGAGGAAAGGTCACGTAGCAGACGACGTTCCACACGACACAGGAAACAGTTTTGGTGCCAGATGTAGTGGACAGTGAGTAAAGAACGTGATACAAGAGGAATATGGATAAAAGCCTCTTGTGATCTCTCTGGGTCAGAAGCGGTTTACTTTGACTCACAACCCGACTGATGAAAACAGCTTCTGAATCAGCATTATTCAAGTGTGTAAGTGTGCACTCACACACACACACACTCACACACACTCACACACACTCACACACACACACACACTCACACACTCACACACACTCACACACACTCACACACACACACACACACACACACACTCACACACTCACACACTCACACACACACTGCAAACTGTTGTTGTAAAAACTACAAAACCATCCTCGATGGATTCTTCAGAATAACAAACATAGACAACATGTTACATACATGTGCACGAGTCCTGCAGTACTGTCGCTTATTCCGAACAGGTCAGGCTAAGAGCAGATAGAGACTTGGTTTTGGATAAGATAACCGGCCTGACTACTTAAATTTACAGACAGCGGCTTGTTGAAGTACAGGAGGACTAAGAATAGCTCAACAAGGAGCCGTATCAGAACCAAGAGGAGTGAGTGTCAGCGTAAAAAAAAAAGAAATTTAAAAAACACTTAAAGATGTGCTTGGTGTGTTTTAACCACAAAATCCTTCAGACTTCAGCATAAGCCATTAAGATGCCGTAGCACACAGGTCAGAATTCCACCAGGAGGACGCCATTTGCAACCTTTAATACAGCACTTGATGCATCTGCTGCAATGATCGCAATGCAATCAGACTCCTCACTATGCTGCCATTAACGACATGGCGCACGGTGTTAGAAGCACTGTGGGAATATTGCATTACGCTTCCCTCAAATGCTGGAGATGAAAAAAGGAAAGTGAAGACACAAGTAGGTGGAAAGACGGTGTGGTTTTTCAGGTTGTTCTCGCACCTTTGCACCTTGAAGCTCTCACCTTCTTGCTTGCATTGTTTCCAGGCTGTTTGAAGAGCAGCTCCACCAGCCTGGAGTTCTTCACCACCTCCCCGATGAAGTTGATCACCTGCTGGGTGCCCTCCACCAGCTTCTCCACCCCGTCCAGCCGGTGTCCATGACTCTCAATCCGCTCGCTGGCCCTCTCCACTGCGCCATGCAGCTCCCTGCACGTTACCTCCACCCCTGACTCCCGCCTTCCGCCGTGGCCCTCTTCACGCATGGAGGCCAGATCCTGACCCATGCCCCTGACATCCTGGGACAGACTGTCCAGCCGGGTCAAGACAGTTTGCTGCATGTTGAGCAAGCGCTCCATCTGAGAGCTCAGGGAGTCCATGCGGCTCTCCATGCAGTGCAGGGCGGCATCATGAGAAGAGGAAGATGAAGAAGCTTGGTACCCGTTAAAAGAGGACTTCCGTCCACCGGGTTTCTGACCATGGAGAGGGTTTGGATCGTAAACCCTGGCTAACGAGTTGACCAGACTGGAGCTCATGGCTGGTTCACAGAAGACAAATAGCAAAAATCTTTCCTTCACTAATGAAGTCCATTCACTTTCATGCAGGTTTGATGGAAACTAGAGAAAAAAACATATTACAGGAGATGGCTGCAGGCAGAAGAAAAGACATGCAGGGAGAACAGAGACGTCTCCGCCAACACAAGAGCCACAGAGTTGAGGTTTAAGAATAGCAAATGGCTATCCAACAAATTAAAGTGCAGCCCCCTTTGGACGTCAGGCACCGAGGGGCCAGTGATAAGAGCTGAGGGCTCGGGTGTGCAGTTGGGGATTGTTGGGGGTTAGGGCGAGATGCTGGAGAGGATCGCTATGTGACATTTGAGACACTTCAAAAGCCCTTCAGTCAGGTGTCAGAATCCCAAGAATCCAGGGCTGAAATATGACGCCGTGAAAAGAAAGTAAGACAAATAAAATGTGCAGCCAATAAACAAGAACACCAGGTCCTCATTTCTGATGATGAAGAACTCGAGGACAGTTTCAGGAGGTGGAGCTGTGTAAGTGTTCAGTCTCCGTTACTAAACATGGATCTAGGTTCCAGATCCTATGTGGAGGTATATGGTTTTCAAGCTGTTTCACAATAGGAAGTTGGGTGACAGGTGCAAGCAGGCGCACGGCCCCAGAAGCTTTGTGAACCACTTGGACGTAGGTTAAAGACACAAGCATCATGGGTATTTCTGAAGCTTGTAAAAGGAGCAGTTGGTTCCCTTGAGTAACCCAGAGGAGGTTTCAGCAGAATGTTGCATAATTTCCAATCATTTCCTCAGACAAGAAAAACTTATTTCAATAACTGCACATTTGATTTATAATTGTAATGGTGTAAATTTACATAACCTGATATATTGAATAGTTAAATGTTCTATTATAATTTAACATAAACATTTGTTATTGTTTTTGAAATTAGATTTATGATGAAAATAATTTTTCTTTGTCTTTTTAATTCCTTTAATTCAATAACTTTAATAACTTTAATTCCCTCAATGATTTACTGTCTCTAGTGAGTTTGTTCATTGTTTTGTAGCATTACAGAATTATTTGTATTGCTTCCATGTTGGATTTTATATTTAATTACGGATAACATGTCGAGGGTTAGTACTTTAAAACTTGGGTACAAAGCTCAGTAAAAGTTCAGGTGCTCTGAGGAGTTTAAAAATGTTTTGGTTTTATTTAGAGTCCATGTTTTGGAAAGAGGTTTCTTAATATAGGCTCCTGCACGGTCCGCTCAACGGCAGACAACGGAAGAAAACAGGAAACAGGTGATGCCAGTGACATCTAAGAACTGTTGATACAGGAGGAGAAGGGGATTGTGGGAGAGGAAACTTGCTGCACATGTGTTGTGAAGAATTAAAGCGAACAAACTGACACAGATAAACACCCAGATACTGACACATATACGTTCATATTCGTGACCAGACACGAACGTTTGACACTTTTAGAGACGTGTCTGACTGCGAGCGCCGACCTCAGACTTGTCCACGTCTCGCTGCAGCAGTATCTGCAGAATCCATGGTGACGAAGAGCCGGCGCCTATACTGTATACTGGCACCCATCTGTCAACACTGGAAAAACCTGACCTGTACCCTGTATGTCCCGAGCCGTGTTCCCATGGACGGACAGCTTGTCAGCTGTCGGGTTTAACACTGTGTTTCCCCAAGTGACCATTTAGCAGCTAAGGTGAGAATGAAAGAGAACACTATGTGAGCGCAGGCAGAGCGGAGCGCGCACGATGGAAAGATGTTCCACTGGGGATCGGACGGAGGAGGACCAGTTTACTCCAACCTGGTTTGTAAACATCATGACATGGCTTTTGTTTTCCATGGCCTGTCAGAGATTTAAAGGTGCAGTCCACCTATAATTAGCCTAAAACAATGTATTCAGCAGAAACACGTCTTTCCCACACACCATTAAAGATGGACGTCATGTGTCCACTTCCTACAGATGAACCTTAAATATATTTTAAAGTGAAGCCGCCATCTTGCACAAAGTAGCCTCTTGAGGTAACGGCCAGTAGTTTGGGGCTTCTGGTGTAAACAGTGAACATCCAGAGGAAGACTCAACCATCAGTCGTCCACTGTTTGGAGTTCAACTGGTTTCATCATCTTCCATCTTTATATAAAGTCTGTGATGGAGACTCCCCACATATTAAACCACAACCACTACATCAGGGGACCGATACAGCAGTGAGCCGTTAAGATGGATGAGGACATTACCACGGTGCCGTTTGATTGGTCGATGTCTAGTGTGGAGGTCAGAGGGCAGAGTGAGGTTTAACTGTACCCAGCGGAACAATCTCTGAAATCCCCCGTCAGAGAAGGTTACTTGGAAAGACGAGAGGCGGCGTGGTATCGGAGCAGAGAGTCGAGGAATGACGCCGCCGGGCCGCTCTGGACACGTATAGAGTTTCTCAGCAAAGACGCAGACAATACATAATGCTTATTCTAGTGAGTGTCCAGTAATCCGTCATCACTGCGGCACGATGGGCTGAACAACACGGATGAAACCAGCTTTGGGCCACAGACACAATAATAGACTGTGTGACATGCGACAAACGTGACAAACATGCGGCCGCTGCTGTGAGTCCACATTTAATCACACTGTGGCGTGGCAGCAACACGCTGACATGGAGGCAGAAGCAGAAAGTAATTAACGACCAACACGCTGAGGTTAACTACATATTTCTAAATACTTTGAGTGGTGCTGGGTTTTTAGGGAGTCAACGTTTTTGTTCCTCTTTTGTAGATTAGTTAAGAATAAACTGAAGATCCATGTTTCTCAGGCTTTTGAGGATTCAAGGCATTTTATTTTATTTCATTAGCTCTGCAAAGTGACGTTTGGTAGTTAATTAGTTTGTTTGTTTGCACGATTACGTAAAAACTACTAATTACCCTGAAAGGTGGCGAAAAGATGTGGTATAGATCAAGAAAAATCTGGGGCCTGAGCAGAACACACTCTCTGCCATTGTAGTTTTGACTTAATTTAACTTTAACTAATATAATTTATATCTAACTTTATTTAATCTAATCTAATCTTTGTGTTTCATTGTATAGAACTTTAATGATACTCCGGCTCCTGAACCCGTCTGCTCCTCGAATCAGACAGACCATGTGGGGGACCTCGTAATAGACTAGAAATTTTGGCCCCCGTGACAAACAGCTCAGTGACGGCCCTCTGATCTCTGGCATGTTCCGGCCCTGGAGCCCCTGAATCATCCAGGGTTTCCCTCTCTGAATTGGCATCCCTGCCCACAAAGGAATCACCATTCCATCCTCATGACTCACATCACCCTCGCCTCACAGAGACCAAAAATAATTTTTTTCGAATCTATCTTTGAGCGAAATGGTTTTCCTCCGCAGAGCGTTGGAGCCTCAGAGGTTTGAGGAGCTCAGACATCTGGAGGCAGCGCGGAGCAGAGCCGCTCCTCCTCCGAACCAGTGCAGGTTGTTCAGGCCTCCCGGGCAATTTCCACTGGAGCTTTTCCAGTAAAGTCACATTGTTGAACAATCAGAAATGCTGGAAAGACGACATATCTCCTGTGACGGAAAGAACACCTTCCTCAGAAAGGAATTGTTTTTTCGGGTGGGAGACATAACGTCTGGATTAACTTGCAAAACCGGCTGCAACAGGCGACCAGCACCAGATAAGGCTCAGAAAATAAAATGGCTTCATTCAGAGGGTCCTTGTTATCTTACAAAGCCTGTTAGTCAACTTACATTAACACAGCAGCTTGATTCAAGTGAGAAGATTCTAAATCAAGTTTGTTGGATTTGTTACGGCGGCAGCCCAATAGAACTGATCACCACGTTTGGCTGTAGGGGGCGCTCTAAAAGTCACACAGTGTTCCCTAAACGTGATGGAAAAATAAAGTCTCTGATATTAAACTGGTTCAAGTTCTTTTCTGTCTCACACCATCACGTGTAAATGTGGAAAAACTCGTTCATCCTGCAGTGACTTGTCATTCGTGTGATTCACGGTATTATCAAAGCAAATAAATGGGACTCCACCCGTGTGTCTACGCTGCACATGAAATAGAAATGTATTTAAATGTTTACACACATTTTCCCATCACGCATAGCAGCCGAAGTTTTAATTTGCTTGGCAACATGCAGTGTTATAGAGGGAGTCGCTTGTTTCCGGTGGCTGTGCAGCTACATGACAATGGAAAGAAGGCCACGCGTTATCGCTGCAATTCCACCTGCTGCATTTTTTCGATCTGACAAACAGTCGTGTCACCACGAGCTGATGACAGTCTGTTCTTTCTCAGTTCAGCTGCAGCGATAACACTCGTTGTGCCGCTGCTGCTGTGACCTCGGCCGGACGCTGAAACATTCCTTTAATGGACAAGAGGTGCTGATACTGTGTGTGTGTGTGTCTGTGTGTATAAATATATAGGACACAGCCTGTAAATATGTTACATAAGCTCCTCTCTCTCTCTCTCTCTGTCAGTGTTGTGTATCAGGAGAGATGGTGACCTCTGACCCGGCGGAACGACCGTCAATCCCACCGCCTCAAAACACAGCCACAGAAAAACCAGCCGAGCTCAGAGGAGAGTCTGAGGAGAGGATCTCGTTTCTCTCAGCGTCAGCACAGTCGCATGGTGTCGACTTTCAGCTCGAGGAGAATAATTTCGATTTAGGGTTTGTTACTCTAATGAAGCAAATGAAATACAAAGTGAAAGCTGTTAACACAACTTCAGGACCAAGTGAAATGTTAAAGGCAGGACTGTGACCTGAGCTCGCTGAGGGAAACAAACCAATACCACAGAATTATATTGACTAAAAACTTATAGATCAATGAATCAAATATGAATATTAACATATTTTTGGAACTTCAATATATAATAACTGTGTATATTGAATTTATTTTGGTTATAATAACATGGGAAGAGACAAGCAGCCCAGCTCGTTATGAAGTAATTTAAAATGAGTTATAACGTGGTTTATACATTAAAGCTTTAACTATCACATTCATACATGTTTTTTTTAACTTTTTGTTACTTTATAAATTATGAAATTCGTTTTAATCCAATCATGAAGCTTTACAAGTCTGATAAATGTTATATGTGATGGATCGACTCAGTGAAAATGCTAAAAAATAATTAAATAATTAAATAATTAAAATTGTATTTATGATTAATTAGACA